AGCTTTGCTCCCTTCCCAGCCCTGGCGTGAGATGTCTTTGCCTTGACTGGGCTGTAGGCCAGTTCTTTGACCCAGCACTCTCCTTCTAGGACTTTATCCTAGAGATATACCTGAGGATATGTCAGAGACAAGGATACCTAGTATGACACTGTCATAGGAAGATTGGAAATTGCCCAAGTGTCCAACAAACTGGGGCTATTAACATACCTGTAAACAAAAACGAGATAGTTCTCGCCACATTGACCCAGACAGAGTCGGGCATATTAAAGGCAAGGTACAAAGAGCACACATAACCTGCTATCTTGGGTGAAGAAAATAATGACTATATTTATTTCTTTTGCATGAAGAACCACTGGAAGGATACAAGAAAACAATATTGAGGCTTGCCGGTGAGAGTGGACTGAATGGGTTGGAGCAGGGAAGGGACTTCCCAGGTGCGCTTCCTGATCTACCTTGATTTGTGAAGGAAGCAAGTGTATTATTCACAAAACAAAAGGAAAAGGTTGCCTGGGAGAGAAAATGTCAAAGACGAAAGTGGTGCTGGAATTTAAGGTAGAATGTTCTAGCATCAGCCTTTGGAAATCTGGAAGAGAACCGGAGCTCTCTTTTGATGATCTGGCCGGTGGGGCACTGGGCTACCTCCTGAGATGGAACTCAGGCTTCCTTGGGAGGTAACAGGACAGGTGTTACTAAAACCTGGCTAGAGCAAAAGAAGGCCAAATCGAGGAGAAGCTGGCAATGGGGACCTCCCTCCTCCAAGGAGCAGAAGAAGGGACTCCACGTGGGAGCAGGTTCCTGACCTATCCTTTCCACACTTCTTTCAACAGATTAAAACAGTTTCATTTTCTAAATAAAATTGCTCCAGCAGGATCCTAGTAATAAGACATCATTGCCTTTTTATTTTATTTTTTCGTTTTTTTGGTCCTGGGGATTGAACTCAGGGGCACTCGACCACTGAGCCACACCCCCAGCCCTATTTTGTATTTTATTTAGACACAGGGTCTTACTGAGTTACTCAGTGCCTCACCATTGCTGATGCTGGCTTTGAACTTGTGATCCTCCTGCCTCAGCCTCCCGAGCTGCTGGGATTATAGGTGTGTCATCATTGTCTTATTTTTAAGAGGCACATTTTAAGCTTTTAAAAATATACATGTTGGGCTGGGGATGTGGCTCAAGCGGTAGCGCGCTCGCCTGGCATGCGTGTGGCCCGGGTTCGATCCTCAGCACCACATACCAACAAAGATGTTGTGTCCGCCGAGAACTAAAAAAATAAATATCAAAAATTCTCTCTCTCTCTCTCTCTCTCTCTCTCTCTCTCTCTCTCTCTCCTCTCTCACTCTCTCTTTAAAAAAATAAAAATAAAAAAAAAATAAAAATATACATGTTATGTTGAGATTTCAATAAGAATCTCTGTAGAAGAAGATTCAAAATTGGATGATACTCATGCGGACTTGCAATAGAACTTTTACTCATCGCTATAAATAAAATTAATAACAGCATCATGGATTGAGCAGCTAGGTGGCTGGCTCCAAAGTGGCTGGGTGTTTTAGAAGTGCTGCACCTATTGTGATCTTCAGAACAACCCATGTTACAGGGCATGTGAGCCTCAGGATCTCAGGTGACCCAGCAGAACTATTTGACTGAAGACTCTGCTTGCCCACCACCACAAGACTTGGAGTTCAGTGCTCTGGCATCTAGTTAACACCTTCCTTAGAATACTGACCATAGTCAGACTCTCTCCAGTCTAGCTGAACACAGCATTTACCTGCCTCAACTCACAAGGCAGGAGCTGCAACTTATTTGGTGTCTTTGATTCTTCTGGGAGCTCTGCACAGCGCCCAGTGAATTGGAAGACAGTGTAAAAATAGTTCAAAGTTGAATTAAAAAATGGGGAGATCAACATATTGGACATCATCAGGTGCTCTATGGTACGTTTAAACTAATATAGAAGTCAGAAAACATGGTAATTTGTTTAATCAATGAAATAAGTCAAACAAGATATCAGGAAACAATATAATTTCTCATCTCCAATGATTTAATTCATCTTCATCACTGAATACTTTTGGGAAAATCCAGGGCAAAAGAAGGACAAGGACACATATCATTATTAAGGATGGGACAGCCACAAATGCAGAGCTTATTGGTGACCCAAATATCAGGTCTGGCTTTGCTGTCCATGGCATGATTTTGTAAAATGGTACGTTGACTCTCAGCAAAATTCTGAGCAGCCATGTGTGGTGGTACACACCTGTAATCCCAGTGACTCATGATGCTGAAGCAGAGGGGAGTGTAGGTTTGAAACCAGCCTGGGAAACTAAGCAAGGCCCTGTTTCAAAATAAAAAATAAAGAGGACTCAGGTGTAACTCAGTGGTATAGTACCTCTGGGTTCAATTCCTTGTAACAAACAAACAAACAAACAAACAAAAAATTCTGAGCACAAAATTATAAACGTCTTCAGCAAAGATAAAATGGCTTATGATACCATATTATATTTATTTAATGACATTTAACTTTGAAATTAAAAGAATCTTAAAACTACATTTATTAATGAGGGGAAAAAGTCTGAGTTATTTTCAATGAATAAATCATGGAATTTAAAAGATTTTAAAAATTAGAGTCCCAATTAAAAAGATTCAGAATTAAAATCCTCAAAAGAAAAGTAATAAAAGTTATCCAAGCTTCCAAATCCAGAGTTAGCCTTCACTTCATGGAATCAATAAAAAATTGTTGCAAAATACTCTGAGCCTCTGAGTACCTAAGCCGATAAGGGTGTCAATATTTAACTAGTATTTGAAGCTTATCTTATTTTTATATTAATGAATGATAAAATATTTTCTAAATAAACATTGCTGCTGATTACTTTTCTGTTTCTTTTTTCTTTTGTTTTGGTACTGGAAATTAAGCCAGGGGTGCTTTACCACTGAGCTACATTCCCACATCTTTTTATTTTTTTTATTTTGAGGCAGGGTCTCTTAAGTATGGGTCCTCCTAAGTTGCTGAGGCTGACCTTCAACTTGCCATCCAGCCATTTCCCAGTCACTGGGAGGCATGTGCCATCAGACATGGCATCCCACTACTTTAAATTTTTGTCTAACATTTTTCTTTAACTTTTTTGAATTTTAGTCTAAATTCTTGCTTTGGATTGTCTCAAACATGGAACCTGACGGGTGGAATCGCTGGCAGGGGCCTTTTATCTTGGAATCTTGCTTTTCTTTTAAAAGTGGTAGATTCTGGGGCTGGGAGTAGAGCTCAGTGGTACAGCATGTGCTTAGCATAGTGAGAGGGCGCCCTGAGTTCCCAGTACCAAAAACCAAAACAAAACCAAAAAAGATGGGTGGTGGTAGATACCTTTTAAAGAGCTCAGTGGTGGAGGGCTTGCCTAGTACGCAGGAGGCCCCTGGGTTCAATCTCCAGCACTACAAAAGAAAAAAAAAAAAGCTTAAATCTTTAAATTGGGTGCAGTGGTGCATGCCTGAAATCCCAGCTACTTTAAAGGTTTGAGGTCCACCTGAGCTACACAGTAAGACACTGTCTTTGAAAACAGGGCTGGGGATGTAACTCAGTGTAGAGTGCTTGCCTTACCTAGCATGTTCTAGGCCTTGGGTTTGATCCCTAGTGCAGAGGTCGGGGCTTTATGGTTCTTTTCAGCTTTAAAAATCTGTTATGCAATTACATCTCTAATGCACATATTTGGAATAGTGTATTTATTATTTTTCAATATTATTTAATATTGAGAAGTAGTTGATTATTACAGTTGCACAAACTGAATTACTTTTTAAATGTTGCAATTGAACTGATTCAAATAGGCCTCACCTCTTTCTTGGTGACCTGAACTGACCTGGTCCTCCTCCTTTTCTTTTCTAGAATTTTCTGTTCTGTCCCTATCCTGTCTTCCAGGTATATATTGTCTTCCAGTTATAGCCACCCAACTCCCAAGACTCTCACAGGCTCTCTTCCAGGTCTCACGCCCCAAGCCAAGAATTCTTCCATTGCCATCTCTCTAGCACACGACTTTATAAACTTATCTGGCCCATGTGACATTCTTTTGGCACATGATAGTCTTTCAGCATGTGACAGTCATTCAACAAGGACAAGTAGGGAGATGTTAATGGACAACAGTGTTTTAAAAATATCCACCTCCTTCAAGTCTCTAAGGATTTGATCTGAATGGCTGTTACTCTCTAGGGTTGGGAGGGCTTTGGGTGCCTGGGCTTTTAGAATCCCAGGACCATACCTCCACAGTCACCTGTTCTGCCAAGGGGGAAAAAGATGAACAGTGACAAGAGTAAAGTAACAATTCCTATGTAAAGTGACAGATGTATTGGAAGGCTGTAAAAATCCTGCAAGACGGGCTCTCCCTTCAAGAAACTGTAGTCTGGATGGGCAGAAAACACAGATAGATGGATGGGTAGATAGAGCTAGAGAGACATTAGAAGGTGAATAAGGACTGCAGGCAGGAGGTGAGAAGTGGACAGAAGCACAGAGAGGAAACAAAGGAGGAGACCCTGCAGCTCTGGAGTAGGGCGGGTCTCACGGGGGAAGGACAGAGCTGTGGCTAGACTTCTAAGGTGAAGTTCAGCTTCAGGGAAGAGGAAACAGATTTTCCTGGAAGGTTCATTCTCCTATTAGGACAGTATTTTGACTGAAAAATTCCTGAGTCTGTCTAGTTCCGTTCCTAGTCCAGATGTCAGTTCAGAACTTGCCCCAGCTGTCCCTCTCACTCTCCTCACCGCTTTGCTTAACTTGCTCCTGCCAGATCCCTGCCATTGAGGACTGGAGGTGAACTACTCTGTCCCTGACATAACTGCCTAACATTTTTAGGGTGAATACAGTTTGCCAAACAAAATTTCTCCCACTGGGTAAATAATCACCAAAACTTATTTTCTGAGGCTTATTATCAGATTTCCTTCTTGGTTGTCAGTGTTGATTTTCTAAATGATAAAAATATGAAGCCCAAGTATATGCAGACTATGATAATAACAAATAACAAGGTAGGTGATGAAGGAAAAGCAAGAAGTCTGTTTAATCTGTAAATTATTTTTCTGGTCCTAAGTAATTGACTGTTGTCTATTCTTGATCTGCAGCTTTTTCAGATGGTCAAAATTGCAAGATTTTTGTTCATATCTGTTGAAGGAACATTTTCTGATTGTCTCTCTTCCTGTAAGTCTCACGAGGTCTCAGCTCATGTGAAACTCCACACAGAATCAGGCACCTGGACATGCAAGGGACATTGGTTGAATGAACTGATGGAAGTAATTTAGATCTTTGGTGGTATCTGCTATGAGGGTGGGTCTTTATCTCTCCAGGTTTTATGGTTCCTTTAGACTTAATTGCTGGAATTTATTAAGTTTCAAAAGCTCAAACATCTTTATCATGCACGCTGCTTTCTTGGATATTTCTACACTGCACAAACAATGCATACGAGTAGAGCGGTTTTGTTTATTGGTGGAATAAAAGCAACTTTTGAGTGCGGGTTGTTCTATCCAGCTACAACTAAGCTAAAAAAAAAAACAACAGCTGCAGAGAAATCATAAAACACTATTCTGTTCTTTGTACCTATTTCTGATAAGAGAGAAGAGATAAAACCCAGACATTCTCAGCAGATTCTTGCATAGGAAAGCATTTTCATTAAAGAGCGCCTTATCTCTGAGTCCTAAGCATTGCAACATATTTTGGTGTTATACTCAGCCCTTCTCCTGAATTCAGTTTCTGGGTTCTGTAAGAGTTCTAAGAACTGCAGTTGGCCTCCCACACTGGCCCAGATTTGCAGGGCAGGACCCCTAGAGAAAAGAATGATTTTCTGACCCTTGGGGCAGAATGACCCAGCTTCCAGGAAGTTAATCATGCTGTTTTTGGTGGTGGGAAGGAATGTCAAAGAAATAAAAGGCAAAGCTCTGCTCCTAATGAATTCCAGAGAGGGACTAGCCGTAACAATCTAAGCAAGTGACCTTGGTCTAGGGCAGATTAAAACTAGGAAGACTGAACTCCTTTTGGTGTCTTTTTCTGTACACCTGTAGAGGTTGGCTCCACTGTTCGAAGAGGCAGAGGCCTATGAGCCCACACCACTTCCCTGAGCTTCCCAGATAGCATGACTTCTGTTCAGCCAAGACTCAGCCAGTTACATGTGAAGAATGTTTTCCATTTTCCCCTCTACTTCCATTTCCCACCCTGATCTGTTTTCCATGAGACTGACAGGTAGGGATTGTCTTAAGGGACACCTTAGGCCTCTGGCTGCTAAATGATTTGTGCACAGGGAGTCTGGCAGAAGAGGAGAGGTGGGGTGCTTAGCACTCAGTTTCTTCCAGTGGGGTCATGGGTGACCTCACCGCAGACAGGTTGTCTCTCCTCACACTCCCCGCACTCACTGGGTTCTAGAAACCCTACTTCTAGTCCCACAAGCTCAAGGACTGATAATGGCCCTCCCTGGTGCATAAGACCCAGATTACTGCACCCCTGAGGTTCACTCTCTCACATGCACACAACTTTTCCCGGATTGGAGTGTGCTGTGTGTTAGCAACTGAAACCCTGTCTGACTACTGTAGGCCCGTGGAACATGGTACTGACGTGTAATCTTGTCACCTGTAGCTGTCGCCACAACCCTCCGAGAGACACAGGACTGGACTGCTCCTCACTTATTGGGTAACTGGCTTCTCCTCTCTGGGCCTTTGTCTTCCAGTATATAACAAATGTTGTAAACTAAACGATAACCAAATTTCTTCTGATTCCAACATGAGTATCTCGGGAGACCCATTTTGAGTTCTGAGTTCCATGGCACATGTGGAATGAGAAGGGCCCCGCAGGACAGTTCGTGCTCAGCGGTGCCATCGGTTTAGTCTCTAACATCAGCAGGAACAGGTGGGCAGTGCCTTAGCTGGCCGCAGCGATGATTCTGCAGGAGGGTACAGAAGCAAAGCTCAGCTGTGCCGCACACCAGGGCATGGGGCCCAGCTTCTGGGGCACAGCTGGTGTTGGTGGCCCGGTAAGGCTCCGCGACGTGGGGAATGGGAGCCGGCCGGGAGCGAGGTCGAACCCAACAGCCATCCCCAGGTCCCTCCGCGGCGCAAAAGCAGCGGAGAGCAAGTCTTTCCTTTCCTTCGGGCCTCGGTCTTCTTGCCAGCAGAGGGCGGGCAGATGTGCTCAGCGACCAGAACCCTCTCAGCAGTTGCAGGCGAGGCTCGAACCTGCGCAGCGAGGAACAGTCTCTGTAAACGGCCGCGGAAGGCGGGGCGAGGGCGAGGCCCACGCGATTGGTGCCCAGCGCTCGGCCCCAGCCAATGGGCGGCGAGCGCGTCCCGGGGCGGGGCGGACGCCGCGCCTTAAGGCTGGATGACGCGCGGTGCGCTGCTCCTGTGCTAGACCTGCTCGGCTGCCGCGTGTCCGGCCCCGGCCTCCCAGGCACCGTCAGGTACCGCGCGGGTGTCGCG